ACACTTCTTAGGCAAAGTTCCACAATTTTTCATAAAACAGACCTGTACATAAAGAGAACTGGAGAAGTACAGCATTTTAAGCTGTACCTGTTTTATACAAAAATTTAACACTGTCTTTTCATAAAGATGTAGCTTCTTAGATGACCGCGAACACTATAGTATCATGGCTCCTATCAATACTGAATGGATGAAAAGCTATTGAAATTCAGCATATGTTGCTGGAATACTTATCAAAGAGGTAACTTTCAGCCCAGCTAACAAATTACCTCATTCTGATGAAAGTATCAACATCTACTACATTTTAATAGGAAGTAGTACTATTTAGAAAGTTTGACAGTATCTTACAGGGAATCAGATTCATATTAAAAGAAGTCTTGAAGTCTTTTAAAATGCATTGGTGCTTATTTTGAGTTATATGCTCCAATAAAACTGTCAGCATTTTGGCTTCCCTTTTTAGCTTTAAGAATCCCTGTGAACTGGTCTGAATTCATTTTGTGCTGGAGATTCTCTCTCAATCCCAGCAGGGGTAGTAGGCCATGATTCATAACATACGCCCTTAGACGGGGTTTCCTATTGCTATTTGGACTTGTCAGTTTACCTGAGCAGTTTTCTTTTTTGTAAAATGCCATTAAAAAGGTCACTTGATTTACTCAATTCTTGACAGCGCTCCACGGTTAGTATTGGATTTATTCTCTAATACACAAATGTAGCTGAAAAATTGGCTATAGAAGAAGTTAGTTATTGTGAACAGAAATGCAGTAGGCATGAAGAAAGCATCAGGAAACGCACCCCTGAAGCTCACAGCATTTGATCTGAACCGTACTGTGGGGTAAGAGGTAGTATGCCTTTTCCTTCATGTGCTCTGCTTAGGACCCACTGGCTATTCCATTTCTGAAACCAATGTCAAAAATCCCAATGACTTCAACAAAAACAGGCTGGCCCATATTTCATAAAGAAGCTAATATGCAGAGAAGAAACTTGACCAAATTCTCTATGCTTAGGTAAGGTTCATTTTCCAGTAGTGAACTGGGTTTTTCTTCCTGCAAGTTAGCTGATAAACCCAAACAAAATCAAAAAAATCTCTGCGCTTTCAATAACTGAAAAGGCTTTTACCTCCCCCCTCATTTTTAGCTATTTCAAAAGATAAGACTATTTCCGAAGTGCTGTGATTTATTTCATTTTAGACCACTGCGTTTCTTTTTCCCTTCAACCTGTGGACTATACACTACAATATGAAAGCGTTTCAGTAGCCTTTCCGTTTCCTGTGGTGTCTTAAGAGAGTAAAAAAGGAGGCATCATTGTATTAAACACACAATTACAGCCGCATTATTGAAACTGTAATTTTACTAGCCTTGTGCAACCAGAATATTAACATTACTCTAAAAACGTTCAGAGATATATATCTCAATTGAACTGCTTGGAAAACTTTGGTATAAATATCCAGTCGTCCCCGTTCCCCCCCCCCA